GTCCGTGACCACATTTATGGGGTGATTTATTAAAGTCGTTGAAACCTGTAAGTGTTGTCTCTTTCCTTGTTGGCCACAATGGGCTGGTTGCAACAAGCAATACAGCCTGGCATGGATTATGTTTCTTGATCTGTAATTTGAGGCACTGTTGTTATGTTGTAGGTCCCCATTCTATAGATTGATGTGGATTTTCTTTTCAAACAGAGCAGACATCCCAGTAGACGGAAGAAAGGGTGTTCATGCTTATTCTCCACCCCACCCCACCCCACCCCCCAGCCCAAGAACTACTTAAAAACTATCCACTAGTGATAGGAGAAGCATTAGTGATGAAAACAAAACTCTGCATTAAAAGTAGGCTGTGTTCAGGGAAGGGGGACTGATGATAAATCAATATACATATTTGAAACCATAGTAGTGTTGTCTGACCCCAAAAGAAAACACAATGAGTAGGCCTCTTTAATGCTGGTGGTCAGGCGTTGGAACACAGTCCATTAATGAAGCTGTGTGAGGAGAATTATTAGTGCTTGTGAGATAACAGAACAAGAGTCTTGTGACCTCGGTCCTCCAAAGCACAGGATTGTTCTTGGAATGTGCTTTTGTGCCCCTTCTAGATGTAGCAAGTGGGAGAGGATTTGCTTCAGACTACCCATTGCATTTACTGTTGGTATTCAGCCAAGCACAGCTTGTCCTTGTGATTGTATACAGCTTGAACTTGTGTGAACTATGCTTATATGATGACCTTGCTTAAAGCTCAAAATTTAAAAATATCTGAGGCCAGACAGTGGTGGTGAATGCCTTTAATCCCAGCAGAAGCAGGCACGTCTCTACGAGTTCAAAATCAGCCTGGTCTACAGAGAGAGCTCCAGGACAGGTTCTGAAGCTACACAGAGAAACCCTGTCTCAAACAAACAAACAAAAAAAAGAAATTATCTGAGGCTCTAAATAAAGTTAACTAACTATTGCATGAGACTTTAATCCGCCTCATTTTTAGGTTCCATTCTCCCAGGTCCCTATGCCTTTAGAGTGCTGACAGTCAGGAAAACTCTTTCTGATGGGAGGATGTTAGAGACAAGACCTACATAAGATGAAGTTGTGCTGGAGAGGCTGGTAAGAAGAGAGAACAGAGCAGATACATATTCTGAGGTAAAGCGCCCTGGCCTGTACGGCTGTCTTGCATGCCTAGAATCCCCCTCCTCTTCCTTTCTCTCCCCAGAAATCCCATCTACACCTCCTACCTAGCTATTGGACATTCAACTTTTTATAACATCAATCACAGCAATATATCTTCACACAGTGTACGAATATCCCACAACAAGTAGGCTGTTGCCACTCTCTTCCAGCCGACAGTACGTCTAGACCATACTTTCTCCTATCATCCATCCTTCCAGCTGCTTACTATGTGGTCCAATCTCATCTCAGATTCAACAATTCTAACACTAACCATGCCTTTTCCCTTTGATATCTTTCCTGGATATCTCTTTATCTCTTTTCTACTACATGTGTTTCACTGGCACAAAGCAGAAGCAAAAAACAAATAGCAAATCAAGTGAATTGTGTTAGGTGCCTATTTCTTCATCGCCCTTCCTTGCACTCTCTCTCAAACTCAACCCTTCCTTTCCATTCCTATTATAACTCCTTTGGTTCATGCCCCATCCTCTTAAAGTTCTCTCTAGTTTCTTCACAGTATATCTGTTTCCTCTATTACTGAAGCTTTGTATTCTTTATATATATATATAATTACTATTTTAAATTACCCCAACACATTATTTTAATCTTAATCCTCAAAAACTTCAATAGAACCCTCTACCTCTACATTTAAGACTGACCCAACAATATAATTTGTTTCTAGCGCCCACTGTCTCTCTCTCTCTCTCTCTCTCTCTCTCTCTCTCTCTCTCTCTCTCTCTCTCTCTCTCTCTCTCCCCATCGTGTCTCCCTTCTCCATCATGAAAAATCTAAACTCAATTGGCATCTACATCTAGAGAATTCTACTCTTTCCAGTGTTTTTTTTTAACAGCCACAGTTCAAAGTACTCTTTCCCTTTTTGAGTTTTGACTGAAATTACTATTGAAGGACATCATTCATTCAGCTGACATTTCCTACTTCATATTACCCCAACTTAGTATTAATTCCCCTGAGGCTCCTTTAAAGGCATTTTTGTGCCACAAGTTCTCTCCAAAATTGGATTTTGCTGAGATTCCCTCTGGTGATATTATGTTATTCCAGTCTCTGTAGCTTGTAAAAAAATAAATATTGGAGTTGATTGGCAGAATGATTCTTTTTTTCAGAACTGAAGGTTTTTAAGAGCAGATTTGAGATCCACCAAGTAGAACATTTAAAAGTATCCAACTCAGCTTTACTTGAATTATCCCATAAATCTGCTTTAAGGCAGTGGTGGGAGGATCCAATATGGCCTCAGCATCACTGAGTGGTCATAGGGAAGGGCCACGCAATCTTTAAAATGTGTGTGCCAATTGATCAAGTCCAACACCAGGAATAATTCACAGTAGTTCCACTTTGATATTTAACATAGCACCCCTGCTCACATTACACCATTTGCTGCTCACTGAGCCGATGAGGCCAATGGTATAGCTATTATAGACTGAGAGAGGTTTTGTAACTTTATTGAGTTTGCCCAGTTTGGAAGTAGATGCCCAGGCTGGAGCCTGTCTCGTGTGTTTTTCAGCTGTAAGAGGTAGTCTTACAGCCACCTCTCTCAGAGCAGTTGCGTGCCTTTTAAAGCAGCAGAAAATCGGGTCACACCTGTTCAAATTCTTTTGCTTTTTCTCGGCGAGCTTGGGTTCTTGCAACAGCAGCAGCAGTGCACAAAGCTGCAGTATTTCCCCTGCAGCATCACCTACCTATCACCCTCCCTGCTCTTTGATAGCCCAGTGTCATTTCCTGAATGACTTTACTGTGGGGAGTGGAGCATAGCTTAACACCCACACCACATACAAACACTTGTGGTTGCACAGCTACTCTAACACCAAGAAGCTCTTGGCCTTAGCAATACCTCCAACATTTCAGAATATAATGATGGAATACAGCCAGAATTAGATTTCATGTATCTGATTCATCTCATACCTAACTTAAGCCCAAAGAGTAGAATGACAGTTACGCCATAGGACCTCGATTTAAGAAAGCTTTGAGACAGGGGTTGACTATGGCATTTGCAGGACCCAGTGCCAAATGAAAATTTGGGGGCCTCTGTTTGAAATGCATTAAGCATTTAGAAGTCACACAGCACTAGAAAACAAGTTCTAGATCCTTTGAGTTTAGCCTCTGGCATGCTATACCTGAGACACAAGTTGAGATATTCGAGGTGTCCTTTGTGAACACTATCAGCCCAGTAGGATAATTTATCTGGTGACACTTGATGTTGGGGATTTCTGCAAAATGTGGCTACCACAGACAGCATTAATCTAACCTTATGTTTCTTTCTGCTGTCCTTTCCATTTGGCACTCATCATGTTTCCTTTTATATTTTGTGGGCTTCTTGGGGCTAGAGTAGCACCCTATTATCCCTGGGGTCCTAACAGCATGAATGTGAGAGTAGCACTTAATAAATGCTAGTAGGTAAGTGTCCCTACTTTCCTCCTGTTCTACCCTTCCTTGTTGTAGTGCCCTGAATGTTGATTTATCTTACCCATTCCAACTAAGGCACCAGTATATTCCTCCTGAGGGCAAACCTTCCACTGGCCCGAAAGGAAAGAGGTTCATCCTGGCAGTCCTGGGATCCTGCAGAAGCTACTGAGTGAAGGGCAAAGGTAGACGTAAGTGAGAACACCACCAGGTTAAGAAATCCTTTCATTTTAGTGACTTGCATTTTCAACAGACCCTCTGTATAACATGCCCTGTGTCAACTTTAGGGTTAACCTGAATCCACTTATGTGGAAAACATAGCTTGGCCTTTGGGGCCTACACATTACTAGTTCATATCAAAACTGCCCCGCTGGTTGTTCATGATTAACACCATTTCTGACTGGTCAGTTCCCATGTCATATCTATTATTGCATACTTCATGTATCATCCCTGCCAATCTCAAACACTACCGGTTATTAAAGAATCCAAGGTAAGTAAATCTGCTGTATTAAAACATGTTTACCTAGATGCATAAATTCTGAAAGCTAGAAGTCATTCAAGGAAAAAAAGACCAGGAAACTTCCTTATGTTCAAGATATCAAGTGTATTCCTTCTGCCCAGCAGTAGAAGAATACGGGATAAGTTCCTGGAGCAAGAGAGTTACTGCTTTTGTTTGTTTGTTTATTTTTTACTGTGGTCTTAAAAAAACATGTTATATTTTTCCTTTTGTCTTTGGAAGATAAAAGTCAAAGAGTTCTTCTAGGTTCTCGCAAAATGATTCCCAAGGTTGATGGTTTTGGGGTATCTTTTCTGTTCACTTCTATCTTCCCAACCTACATAGAGTCTTTGACATACAATGGCTGTTATGGAGTGAGTTAAGTATTGGAATTCACTCTTGTGTTGTATAGACTCTCTTGAAGCAAGTAAGGCTAAGTTCATTTCTTCATTCGTTCATTAATGAATGAACACATGTATTTGTTCAGGGATAGTTTTGTTTCAGACAACATAAATTTTGGTTGTCATGGCACATTAAACATACTTAGAGTAAGCTGGGCAGTCATGCTGTATGTCTTTAATCCCAGCACTAGGGAGACAGAGGTGGACTGATCTCTTTGAGTTCAAGGCCAGCCTGGTCTACAGAGATAATTCCAGAATAGCCAGGACTACACTCTCTCTCTCTCTCTCTCTCTCTCTCTCTCTCTCTCTCTCTCTCTCTCTCTCTCTCTCTCTCTCTCTCTCTCTCTCTGTCTCGAACAAACAAAAAAGAAGAAGAAAAACATACCTAGAATGAAAGAAGAAACCCTCACAACACAGGATGAGCAGTGTCTGCGGCAGTTCCTCAGTGATACTCAAGAAAGAGAAGGGACACACAGAGGTTCAGCATTCTAACGGCTTCTGTTTTCTATTTATATCCTCAGGGCCTGAAGCAGCAGGAAGAGATGCCGATTCACTCGTGGTGAATGGGATTCTTGGGGAGTCGGTTACTTTCCCCTTACATATTCAAGAGCCACAGAAAGTTAAGAACATTGCATGGGTTTCTAAGTCATCCGTTGCTTTTGTAAAACCAGGACTCCAAGGAGCACCACCTGACGTGACTGTGACCCAGGCCACTTATGAAGGACGAATAGCTGTCATAGATCAGAACTATGACCTAGTCATTACAGACCTGAGGGTGGAAGATGCAGGAACTTATAAAGCAGACATAAATACAGAGAATACCATCACCACCACAAAGCTCTATCACCTTCATATCTACCGTAAGTTATGGGAGAACACAGGGAGGATTTTACTTTTGCTTTGGATGTTTCTGACCTAAAGTGTATCCGTAGTTCTGAAAATGATTTCCTAATTCATACTTATAATTGTATAGGCACGTCATCACTTTTAACGGTCTAACTTTAATGCTGGCCAGCACAGACTTTAGCAGTATTATTTTTCCAGTGATCTTGTCCTTGGATCTTTATTTTCTTCGTTATAAAATGTCAACAATCATACTATTCAGTTCATAAAAGTTATTATGGCAACCTAGTAAGATGCCATCTGCAGAGTGGTCTTTAAAAAGCTGCTTTTTTCAAAATAATTGCAGAATACACAGGAAAATGCAAGGAACAAAAGGAGGTGCTGCGAGCCCTTCACTTCCTCTGTTCTGCTCCTCTAGACACCCCCCCCCAGGCTTCTCTCCATGCTACAGCAAACCCTCTGGTGTAACCTCTCTCCACTGTCTCCCCGATTCCAAGGAGATGAAATCAGCAGGTGTGGGTTGAGCACTCCCCCCCTGCAAGTGTTAATGTTTACAGAATGGCAGCTCAGTGTGCAAGGTCAAAACCAGGAAACTGATGCTAGTGCAGTCTGCAGAGCTGACTTAGAATGCTCCAGGTGTATCTGTGCTTATTTATGAATGGAGTCCCTCGAATTCCTATAGAACTTAATCACGGGTGTAGCACTGGATGCCATGATCAAGGTAGTCAAGTGTACCATCCCAAGAGTCCCTTGTCTCAGCTCTGGAGGGGGGAGATCTGTCAGCTCTGACTCTGGTTTTCTCTGCCTAGCAGCTATAGGTAACATCTCGGTTCCTGCTGAGAAAGTGAAATGAGATTGTAGTTTTCACCACTATGGCTACACCAATACCCACCACATGCACACACACACACACACACACACATACACACACACACACACACACACACACAAAGTCTCTCTAAAAATAGGTAAATATGTACAGTTTTCACCACTATGGCTGCACCAATACACACACACACACACACACACACACACACACACACACACGCACACAGTCTCTCTGAAAACAGATAAATATGGTCTTTTTATTGGGCTTCAGATGCTGGAATATTTGGGACCTGCTGTGGCAGGGCTGCTGGGCTGCAGTGGAGACATATTTCCCTGCTTATTATTGACTGTGTTTTGATGCTGGCATCTAGGTACCTGGCATTGGGATAACTGTAAGTCTATGTTGGAAAAATACAGGAAATTTGGGACACTATAAAAAGACCAAACCTAAAAATTATAGGAATATAGGAAGGAAAATAGTCCCAGCTCAAAGACCGGAAATATATTTTCAACAAAATAGAAGAAAATTTTCCTGACCTAAAGGACATATAAAGGTACAAGAAGTTTAAAGAACACCAAATAGATTGGACCAGAAAAAGAAGTCTCTTCAGCACATAATAATCAAAACACTAATTGTACAGAACAAAAAAAAGACTATTAAAAGTTTCAAAGGTAAAAGACCAAAGTAACGTATCAAGGCAGACCTATTAACAATCACACCTGACTTCTCAACTGAGACTCTAAAACCAGAAGGTCCTAGACAAATGTGCTATGGTGTCATCCCAGACACCAAAACCAGCAAAAGTTTCAATCACCATCAATGGAAAAAATAAGATATTCCATGATGAAGCCAAATTTAAGCAATATCTATCTACAAATCCAACCCAACAGAAGATGCTAGAAGGAAAACTCCAACATAAGGAGGTTTACTACTCCAATAGAAACACATGGAATAAATAATCTTAGAACAACAAAATCAAATGAAGGGATGTGTGTGTGTGTGTGCGTGTGTGTATGTGTGTGTGCTCGTGTGCATGTGTGTGCGTGCGCATGTGTGTGGTGTGTGTGGTGTGTGTGCACGTACGTGTGTGTGCACATAAACACACCCATGCACACCCCACTACCACCAACAGCAGCAACAAAAGCTAACAGGAGTCAACAATCATTGACATCTCCAATATCAATGATCTCAATTCTCCCAATAAAAAGACCCAGACAAACAGAATGGATGTGAAAACAGGATCCATCCAAGAAACACACCTTAACATCAAAACCAGACAATACCTCAGAGTAGAGTGGAAAAAGGTATTTCAAGCAAATGGATCTAAGAAATGAGCTGGTGTAGTAGCCATTTTAGTATTTGAAAAACTTGACTTTAAGCCAAAACTTATCAAAAGAGATGGGGAAGGACACTACATACTCATCAAAGGGAAAATCCACCAAGAGGGCATTGCAATTCTTAACATCTGTGTCCAAACACAAGGATACCCACATTTGTAAAAGAAACACCACTATAGCTACAATCATTGATTGACTCTCACTTAACAGCAGGAGACCTCACTACCCAACTCTCCCAATAGAGAGGTCATCCAGACAAAAACTAATCAGAGAAATGCCGGAACTAGCAGACTTTTTTTTCTGAGACAGAGTTTCTCTGTGTAGTTTTGGAGCCTGTCCTGGCACTCACGCTGTAAACCAGGCTGGCCTTGAACTCACAGAGATCCCCCTGCCTCTGCCTCCCAAGTGTTGGGACTAAAGGTGTGCACCACCACCACCCAGCTAACAGACTTTATAAACCAAATGAACCTAACAGATATTATAGAACATTTCACCCAAACCAAAGGAATATACCTTCTTCACAACTCATGGAACTTTCTCCAAAACTGACTACATATTCAGACATAAAGCAAGTCCCAACAGACACAAGAAAACTAAAATAACTTCATGTAGCCTATCAGACCAGCATAGATTGAAGCTGGTTATCAACAACAGGAAGCTTACAACAGGAAACTTTCCCATGGGAACGGAACATCTCTCTACTGCATGGAAATTGGGTCAAGACAGAAATGAAGGGGCTGGAGAAATGGCTCAGATGTTTAGAGCACTGACTACTCTTCCAGAGGTCCTGAGTTCAATTGCCAGCATCCACATGGTGGCTCACAACTACCTATAATGAGATCTGGTGCCCTCTTCTGGCGTGCAGACATACATGTAGGCAGGATGCTGTATTCATAATAAATAAAATAAATCTTTTTTTAAAAGACAGAAAGAAATTAAAGAAACCTTAGAATTCAATGAAAATGAATGCACAGCACACCCAAACTTATGGGACACGATGAAAGCAGACGCAAGAGGCATAGCACTAAGCACCTACATTTAAAAAACAGGGACCGATCTCATACTAGCAACACCTGAAAGCTCTAGAACAAGAAGAAGAACACACAAGAGGGGTAGATGGCAAGAAATAATCAAACTCAGGGATGAAATCAACAAAATACAAACAGAGAAAACAATACAAAGAAGCAATGAAACAAAGAGTTGGTTCTATCCAGGGCTAGGCTGCTGCCCAGGGCCATGTCTGTCCGGTGGTCCTGCCACAGCTGAGGTCTATACTGATGCCCATATCCCCATGGTACCACCAAAAGCCACATGAAGCCTGGGGTCTGGGCTGAATCCTGTGGCCTTGTTGGTGTCCAGGGGCCATGCTGCCTTCAGAGCCATCCTGAGTGCCCAGAGCCACCACTTAGAACAAGGATGTCAACCAGGCTGAGCTGATGGCTAAGGCCATGTCTGGTCTGTGGCCCATCTGCAGCTGGGGTCTGTAGCATAGGTTACCACTAGGACCCATACAGAGGCCCCGGATCTAGGCCGCAGTTGCAGCTAGGGTGGAGTCAGGGTGGGGCATGCTACATCACGGGCCATACAGACGTGGCTGGTCTGTGCTACCATCCGGGACCAGGTTATCATCCATGCACAGGCTGCTGCTGACAGCCGTGTCTGGGTCTGCGGCCCTGTAGCAGTCAGGGTCAGGATTGACATACCTTACTCCAGTTGACACCAAGTGCCTGAGTCTGTGTTGGTGACCAGGACCAGGATGCATCCATAGCTGAGTGATCTGTGCTGCTACTCAATGACATGGTGTCATCTGGGCTGGAGCTGCATCTGAGAACCATGTCAGGGTCCGTGGCCCAACTACACCCAAGGTCTGTGCTGATGTCCGATGCTCCTGCTACCATCGAAGGCCATACAAATACCCAAGATCAAGGGCCAAGTTAGTCTCTCAAGGTCATACTGTCACTGGGGGCAGTGGGGATATCCAGACCCAGCAGCTGCTAAGGACCATGTTGGGGTCCATGGACCTATGACGGCTGGGAAACTGACCTGAGATCCGGGTCCTGCATTGCTAATAATGGTCACATAGAGGCCCAGGGTTGGGGCCACAACCTGAGGCCTTGGTGGTGTCTAGCAACCACGCGGCTGCCAGAACTATTCCCACCTGAGTGGCCATTTCCATCACCCAGAGCCCAGGCTGTCATCTGGGCCTAAGCTGTGGTCAAGGGTCATGTATGGGACATGGTTCAGCTGCAGCTGAGGTGTGCATTGATTGATGTCTGTGGCCAGTGGCACCCCAGGAGGCTTTAGGAATCATGTGAGATGAAATCAGAGGGCTATACAGAGCCAGTCCTGCCTTCACTGCCCTGGGAAAGTTGCCCACTGCAGCAAGAGAGCTGGCCCCTGCACTCGGGAGAGGGGGGCCCCAACCTTCACCACAGGAGGGGATGAACCTACCCTGAGGACATGCATGTAGGGAAGCTGACTCCACCACCGCACCCTAGGCGGGTGGCCCCAGTGGCTGAATCTAACCTAATTGGCTAACAACCCAGGCCCACAACTGGACCTTGGGTTGACCCACCCTAGAATCTACCCCATCTAGGTCCTACAGGAGCCCAAAGTTACAAAATTTCCAAATTTCTGTGGTTTAAAAACTTTGACCATGACTAGTTTCTCTTCCCTCTACTCCTCCCGTTTCTTCTCCACCACCCCTTTTTGTCTCAGGATCTCTATATGAGAAAAAAAATCTGTTTTCAATAAAAAGGGAAAGTGAAAAAATAGATAGATACATGTATATGGATGTGTAGATATATGCATGTAACAATGAATAATGAAAAAGCAGGTCATAAACTTGAAAAAGGAAGAGTCTATGGAAAGATATGAAAGGAGTAAATGGAAGCGAGAAATTATTTAATTATATTATAATGTCAAAAAGAAAAAAAGGTTCTTGTTAAATGCTTAATGGGAGTGACAGAAAAATAAATATAGTAAAAACATTTATTAAGATAAAAACATCTTCTATGGCTGATTTTAAGATCTCTGGGGTTGAAAAGAAATGCTTACTTGTATGTTATTGTAGAGCATGGATGCAATATGTGCAACTCACCAAAAATGATTTTTAAGTAATTTTAGCATAATTAATTTGTTGTCATAACTTAATTTTTAATACTGTGTTTAACATCTATCATAAAATTCCTGAAAAGTTATAATTGATTCTCAGGAGCTTATAGATGCAGATTTCAGCTCACTGTAGGCTTGTATGTTTTCTCCTCATAGGTCGGCTTGGAAAACCAAAAATTACACAGAGTTTAGTAACATTTTCAAACAATTCTTGTAATGTCACACTAACATGCTCTGTGGAGAAAGAAGAAAAGAATGTGACATACAGTTGGAGTCCCTTGGGAGAGAGAAGCAATGTCCTTCAAATCTTCCAGTCCCCTGAGGACCAAAAACTGACTTACACGTGTACTGCCCGGAACCCTGTCAGCAACAGCTCTGACTCTGTCACTGCCCAGCAACTCTGCACCGGTAACCAGCTCCATTCATCTCTTCTGGAAAGCCTCAGAAATCACTCTGAAGAGCTTCAAGGCTTAGCCTTTGACTAATCTTCACACGTCTCCTCTATGCTGACATTATCCCTGGGTGTGTCTACACCCGGGAAGTATACGAGGGGGGCAGGGGTGGGGATCCAAAGCCTAGGAAGTGCTAAGCACTCCCAAGCATTTTGAGGAGCCCCTAGTTGACTCTGATTCATACTGTTAATCCAAGAGCTTTGGCTCTCTCATTGGGCATCCCACCTTGGCAGTGTCCATGAATGTGAACAAACCTGCACAGGATCTTGGCCCTGTCCCCTGGTAGACAAGACTCACAACAATTTCTCTTTCCAGACATTCCAAGCTTCCACCTTCGCCATGCTGTGTTTCCAAGGGGACTGGCTGCTACTCTCACCCTGCTTAGTCTCGTCCCAGTTTTGGGACTTCTGTTCTATTTGTACAAGAGAAGGCATAGTAGGATTCACCTGGAAGGTAAAATGTGAGAATGTGTCTGCTTTCTTCCAAGGAGTGAAGTCGTTTATTTACCTAGGATGGAGTGGAGAGTGTCATTTTGGGAAACGTAATAGTAAGTCAAAGGAGCAGGGGTAAAAATATTTGCCAATCTAGAACAAACATGCACAGAGAGAGAGAGAGAGAGAGAGAGAGAGAGAGAGAGATTTAATAAAGAAAATGTGCTATAAGGAAATTATTTGGTCTTACTTTCCAAGACATTTGTATGTAGCCAGTATCTGGGCATCTCACTATCATGTTAAGTAGTAAATTTTACAATATCAGCTATCTTTCTTAACATTAGACATTTGAACTAATCATAAGATGTCACTGGGGTCAGTCCCCAATTGGTCAGGGTCTGATTATTAAAAGGTAAGTGTTTATGCTTTTGAAGGAGGGGACATGAGTTTATCAGTACCCACACTGGATGACTCACAACTGCCTGAAACTCCAACTCCAGGGGATCCGATGTCTTTTTCTGGCCATTTCAGTCATGGAGGAATGTCCTCTGAGAGGTCAAGTGGGTCTTGAACAGCTGAGCCATCATCTCTCCAGCCTTATCTCTACCCCTCACTCTATAATCAACCAGTCCAATTAATTGACCAGAGAAGAAAATCTTTTTTTCTACTAGAGCTGCTTCAGAGCTGACAGGTGACAAGGGGCACTGGCTGGGGTTTCTGATCTGCCATAGGGTTGTAGAACGATAAGGCAAAAAAAGGCTCAAGTGGTATTATAGAGAAGGAAATGGTGAGAATTTAAAGGACAAACTAAGGCATCACTGTTGGCGGAGAGCCCATCACAGTGGAGACAGGTGCCAACTTTGATGGCAATGGTTGATACTCCTAAGACAACGCCTGGTTATTAAAGACCTGGAGGATCATGTCTCATGAGTCTGGATCCCTGGTCTAGTTTTTGAAGGTTTTGTTTAATATCTAGCGAGGCTTGGTATACATATGTATCCAAATGGTGCAAAGGTCCCCATTTGTCACTTTGTGAAGGGGAAGAATGAGGACAGCTTTTCCTTCTTCCCTGAATTTCCCATATGAAGTTCATAAGACTGTGAGGGAGAGAGAAGACCAGGGAAAGGAAAGGATCGTGAGGGAGTTAAAACTTAAAGGGGGAAGGAGCAGAGTTGCTACATGGGGTGGCTGGTGAGCAGGAGCTTGAGTGCAACAGAGGAAGGATGACCAAAGATGTCCTCTGCGGCTGAGTGTGGGAACACCATCCAAGAATGGAGTTATGTGAGAACTCTCAGTACTTGTGAGAAAACAAGACAAGTGTCTTGTGACCCAGTGTCTTCAAAGCACGGAATTGTTCTTGGAATGTGTTTTTGCGCTCCTCCCAGCTGTAGTGGATAAGACTGAGCTTACTTCAAATTACTCGTTACAACCAGCTGTTATCATGTATTTTATGCCTTTATGGAAAAACATGTTTTGTCACATGCGGCTTGTCCTTGTGATTGTACACTTTACCCAGGTGACTCTTCTCAACCCTCAGAGTATAAACTGTCTGGTGCTCTGGAGAAAGTTGGCTATTGTTTGAGGCTTTAATCTGCCTTATTTTCAGGCTACATGCTCAGAGGCCCCACCACCCCTACAGAGGTGACTAGTGTGAGATAATCTAGTAAAACACACACAACATCTCTCTTGCAGCTGGAGGCACTGTGATGAGGCCATTAAGGCTTAAATATAAGAGATCTATGTCCTTTTCTAAATTATGACAAAAGAAATTTAATTTTAATACCCAGTTTTATAGCCCAGTGTGCCAAGAGACTATTAATATTCTTAATCTGAGAGTGGATATTCAGGGTCAGATTTTATTGCAAAGTAAAACTAGGGGAGGTATTTTGCTTTTGAAAATCTGTGATTCAAATCTGTACCACTTCTTCAGCATACATCCCAGGGCTATGTCAGAAGAAATAATGGACATGAGACCCATCATGTGGGCCCTTCTAGAGGTGGAGTTTTTACCCAGAATGCACCACTTGAGGGAGCAGCAGAACTCTTGTGTCACAGGCAACATCTGGCCACACTGCACTGGCTCCATGGGGATGTGCCTGTAAGCTAAGGTGTCACTTGAGAACCGACTCTCGGGCTGGAGAGATAACGTCTCAGCCGTTAAAAGGCTAGGCTTGCAATCCAAAATATAAGAGAACAGAGACTCTTCTGGTGTAGGGAGAGTTAAACTCAAGTTAAACTCACTCAAGAGTTAAACCTCTCCAGCTGGTGAAGTCAAACCAACCTTGAAGGGAAATTTTTACGGTGTCATACTTCTGGATCAGGAAGTATTGCCAAGAAGCAGAAATAGGCAAAAGCACCATCAAGAAGTAGCTCTGCCGCCACCTGCTCTGGCGAGCAGCAGCAATGGATGGGGAAAGGAGTGAGAGAGGAGAGGACAAGTCCTCACATCATGTGCACGTTCACCCTGGACAAGCTGCTGGTGGTGAGTGCACTATGCTTCGAGAGTCAGGTGGCCCGTCATTCTTTCAAACTGTGGGGGAGGCTGTTTTCTTTTTACTTCCCTCAAGTCCTATCAAAGCAGACCCTTGATGTATTAGTTACCTTTCTCATTACTGTGACAAAATTCACGTAGGGATGAAATTCCATCTTGACTATTATCTGGCCAGTTATTGTAGCTTTGTAAGATTCCATTGCCTCAGCTGTAAGACATCCATAATAATAGGGCTTACTGCATATACTTATTAAGTAGACCACACACACACACACACACACACACACACACACACACACACACACACACGCAATAGTCATCCCGGCCCCTGATAGGCAGGTACTAGGTAAACATTAGTTCCTCTGTGTATAATTGGCAGGCCTGAGTATGGTATAGAGGTAGCATTCTAAGGGAAAGGTTTTATGACATGCGTCATAACTCAAATGGATTCACGAAAGGGAACTGTCATAGTCCCTTAGGCATGATTTCTAAGTTTACTCAACGAAGCATCTGTCTTCCTCTCACAACTAAAGGAGTAAAGGAGAGACCGAAACAGAGTGAGATGCAGAGACAGATATATATAGGCTGATCTTTGCACCCACAAATAAGATTGAGAGCACTTTGGCTGCCTCACCAAGTCTGGGGCAGAGACCAGACTAGCTCTGAAATACTGAAGCCTGTGAGAATCTCTAATCTGATCCATTATTTGTACATATTTTTGGTGTCCTGTTATAAGAAGGCACAAAATACTGGCTGTCTCTTTTCAACTTGACCCTAAAACATTGTGTTAATACTAAAGAAAAAGAATATGTTGAGATTAATGCCTCATCTATCTCAGAAAAAGTAAGGATCTATGTAGCTTTTCTCTGTTTCTCTGGGGCCTCCTATAGAGGGTGGCACAAATGAATATCTTAATAAATACTTACCTATATCATGAATGTTTGTGGTTATAGTCAGCTATGCATCAGGGTAATAAACCCCTGACTATAATTAGAAACAATCAAGTTAAGTAATTGTGACCCTGACATGGAAAGTCCACTAGCCACGCAAGGTCATCAATGCCAGAGCTATCTTTGAATTCTATACAGGACTGGGGAAATTCTCCTTAGGCTAAACTGGACTTTGGGAATAAAAAAGAATTCCCACTGGGTTTTCGGTGAGATTTGAATGAGATGTATATCACACATGTATGTAATCCTTGGGATGGAACGCCCATCTGAAGATCCAGGCACCCTTCTCTGTAGGGCAAGGGCTATTTGACCTCTGGGTTTTATTTCTTTTTCACAAAAAGATAAAATAAGACTAAACAGTCTCTAAAAACCTACCTACCTTTCACAGACTAATGTTCTGTTTATTTGTGGCAGGTGACGTCTCAAAGGAAACAACATTCCATAAAATGTTAAGAAGTGATCGTCCCACAGAGTCCAGAATCTATGATGAAATTTCTGAGTCCAAGGTGAGCTGATGCTACTCATGAATGACCCTCTACTACCACCAGCAAAATAGGAGTCTTGGGCAGTAATTGCCCTCTATTTGCCATTGCATAGAAAGAAGCTACCTACAGCCAAGAATCTAGAGGAGCCCACCAAGAAACACTATGCTAAAGAAATGATGCCAAGGATCTCCCCATGAAAGCAAACATAGTCCATTGTCTTCTCATGGCAACCTCCATGGTATAAGACCCTGGGCTTCATGTAAAGGCCTAGCCATGGGTTAGATGTAATTTGTGTCTAAGAAGCTCTCCCCAGAGGTACCAAACAATGAAGGAGTCCTTATTGTGAAATGAGGGATGTCTTGGGGTTTCCAACAGGGCAAAGTCTTGGTAAGGTTGTCCCAAGGACACAGGACTGAAGATAGACACCTTGAACTACACTAGCTGGTCTATCAGAAACTTGCTGTCTCAGATTCTTTATTCACTATGACCCACACCTTTTGCCTTTTGTCTGCCTGTCTGGGCCTCACCTTCACTAAAGATCATTTTCTGTGCCTACACAAGTCTGCTCCTCTGGAGTCTGCAAGGACTGAAGGGAGACACTCAGGTTTCTCTGGTTAGTCTGACCCTGCATTTAAACTGTCGAGGTGTTATTAGAGATTCACATAATTCCCAGAAAACTAAACTCCCCACTGAGCAAGACTCAGTCCAAATTACACAGAACCCTCCTCTTGGCTCTTGGAGGTGTTTTTGCTGCTGGGCTGTGCCCAGCTGCCACCCATTCGTCCTTATCTCTACCCTAACCCAATCCAAAGTTGGAGGGAACGAAGAGCTGGTGCCAGGAAAGGAGGCTCACAGTAAAGTGGGATAGAAGTGGGTGATGGCGAGAGTGGAATTAGGACAGGAGACTTAAGGTTTGTCTTCTGCACTCTGAGGGCAAAGGATCTCTTTTCCAGGTGCTGTCCCGCAAGGAGGAGCCAGTGAACACCATTTACTCCTCAGTGCAGTTTTCTGAGAAGGTAAATCCTGTGTGGCTTCTTCCATTTGTTCTCCCCACCCTAGTGTATCCCATCCATCAAAATCTGATTGCAAACTCAAGTCTCCTCAAGCCAACGAGGAAGTTGTTCATAGCATCCTAAGTACTAGATCACAAGACACACTAGTGGTGATGAGATGCCAACAGTTACTGGTCTCTATGCAGGGCTGAAAACGGAATTGTTGGAGAATAGAAAGAACAAAGGCTGACCTAGGAACAAATAATGCAACCTGGATGCTGCTTGAAGCCTAACAATCAAAACCAATTTCCTACTCCCTTCTACTTACCTCTTCTGGGCTAAGAAGTTCCCTGGGGCTCTCAAATGGGGTGGGTGGAGCAAAGGCAAAGGGCTCACAGAGAAAATAGCCTTGCCATCCCAGATGTCCCAAGCACAGGGGAAATCTAAGACATCACCCTGTGCCGTTTCCTTAACTCTCCCAGTACCTCATGGGACTGGGCTTAGCCAGCCACACCTTTCAGCGAACACGCTTTCTTATTTCCCTCTCTTACACAGATGCGGAAAAATGACACAAAGGATGGCAGACCTCCCAAGACTTTGGGTAATGAAATTATCATCTAGGTGAGCAGGCAGTGTTCTCCCACTGGGAACTGAAGTTACAAGCAGTGATAGTGTGGGTGTCCTGGAGACCTAGACCTTCTTTGGCTATCCCTTACCGGGGCACTGCAAACCACCACATCCAAACACACAAGCAGAGTAACCTTCTGTTGTTGGGCATTCCTTGTACCCAGCTGGGCTTATGGTCACTTGCCCTTGCTTATCCCTGATATGGTGCCTCCCAGACTTCTGCATATCACAGAACATGTAAAAATATTTTTATGGCACACTGGGTGAAATTGCCAAGGTTGCTCATGTTTAAAGAAGATTGAAGATAGCTGGAGAGTACTCATGTCTAGACATAATGTCACTGCCCAGCATCTGTCGGAAGATATCAATAAATATTTTGGACACCTGGAACACACCATGGCATACCAGCTAGATGCTCTGTGCAGACTCAACGTGTGTATGGAACCCTGGTGCAAGGCCTCCACCAGTTGCTACAGTACCTGAAACAACTTAGGAAAGGCATCCTTGGAGCCTAAATAACCCATCCCTTGAATGCCAACTGTAGGATACATAGCAACCCCTACTCATTCCTCAGCTCAGGAACCACCATGCAGGACACAACTGCCACTATTAGCCCAAATACAGATGACTGTGCAACCTGGAAAGCTGTGAGTTGTGGCCCTACCCCAGGCAGACACACTGTCTAAGTGTAGCATGATAGTGTGTTCTTTCTGTAGAGATTTGACTGCTGGAGATCTTCAGAAGCCTCCTAAGGTTCCCTTTCTGACCAGGCTTGCCTTCCCTGTGTATTACTTCAGACAGCCTTGGCAAGAAGACACCATACCCAAGAGCCTCACTCTCCAAAAAGAATTGTTCAGCTACATTGCTGACACCCTGAAGGAAGTGGGTGCAAGCAAACCATCAAAACAAGAGACCTTGAAGATCCCAGTAATTGTGGGATGCATTGTGGGAACCTCCTCAGAGACACCACACATGTTCTCAAGCTCCATGCTTGCTTGTAACACAGTGCCTCAGCCAGGACGTATGCCCCCAGCCTTGTCTGTTTACATGCCATCCAATCCCACCTCAAATAGTACCTCCTCTGTGAAGCTTTCCCTGGCATTAAGTAGTGAAATTTCTGTACCCCTCCCCCATTCGTCCTTATTTCACTTTAACTCATTTCATTTTGACTTACAGAAGAATTATTTGTTTCCTCTGTGTGACAGATACATTTTTTAAATCTGTTACTTTCATTTACTACTTAATTTCCATTTGCATTTGCCATAAGCCAACATAACACATTGTAGCCTGTGTAAGAGCAATAAATGCTGTTGAATAGAAATCCAAGTGAGGAGTCAGCTCAGAGGCACACATTGAATGCAGAGATAGATAAAAGCCGATAGACACAGGGCAGCCAATTTACACTAAACATTAGTCATAAAGATGCAGACACCGACTATAGTCGAATTGCAAGGGCATTTGGAGGGAAAAGACTTTCCGACAGACCAACTAAGAGGGCACCTAAAGCCAAGTGTACTGATAAATGCCTATAATCCCAGAACTGAGAAGGCAAAGACAACTTCAGCTACACAACCAGTAAAAGCCCAGCCTGGGCTATAGAAGACTCCCATCTTTAAGAAACAAAAAACAAAAATTTTTTCTTCTCCTTGGAGCATGCCCTCCATACTAGGTCAGCTGAAGTGACCTGGGCATGAAGAGGCAGTACCCTGGAGAGTTACACATGGAAAGGAATACAGAGACTTGACCATAAAGGATGGAGACAAGTCAAAGTTACACTTGACTTCCTCAGAGTCACTCCTCATCCTGTAGTTGAGCTGAGGAGTCTTGGACAGATCTCGTTCTTCAACTTGCCCCTTCCTCTCCCTGATGAGGGCACATTTTAAAGCCCTGGTATACAGTGCCAAATAGAAAGGACCAGAGGCAAGAGTTCTTTAGGCATTCTACAAGACCAATTCTGTTTGAAGCATGGGAGTTCTTAAGGTGGCCTTTGGGTTCAGGACCATTCTGCATTTGTTTCTTTTTTAGGAATCTTGTGATTTGCAAAGATACAAGCTATTCACTCCTTCCTTTGGACTCAGTTCTCAGATTCTTCTGAAAAATTAGAGTTATATTATTTTCCTATTTAAATATTTCTAAATCAACTAGGTTGTGGCCAATAGGTCCATGAAAATCAAAGTATACTTTCAATAGGACAGGATCTCTTACTAGCCTACAATGTGCTCACATACACACACAATTGAGATGTCCAACACAGTGCCCTCTAGTGAAAAGTGCTGGTGAGCCAGGATGACCCCTCTTCACAAATAAAAGACTTCATGGAGGATTCAACTAAGTAAATGAGAAGTTGCAACTCATGCTCCCCAAGGAATGGGGAAATGGAACTATTTAAAAATATTTTAATCTAGACAGCACACAAGAGAAGAGCTTGGCTGGGCATGAAGAAGCCCATGTGGTCTGCGCTAGATCAACAGATACCGGCCTTAGCTAAAATGTAGTGAGAAGAAATTATTGAGCCAGAGTTTCTTCCAAATTTATGCCTATTTTGACTTTTTTCTGAATTTCCCTTGATTTGTATAGTTTTCTAAAGAGTATAGTCTCTACTGGCTATAAATGAAGCTTGAAAAACAAAGACAAACAGAAGAAAACATGAATGATCAGAAATGTGGGCTCTGACCCTGGAGTACCTAAATCTAAAACCTAGTTTCCTAGTGACCTTGGAGCAAGTCACTTGAACCTCCTGTCCTCAGGTTGCCCATCTATAAAATGGATATACCTATCTTGGTTGGTTGTGAGCATTAAGTGAGATGTTACTATAAGAATATGCCAGAACACAGAGCATCCTGGGTCCTTTTAATTCATTCCTTGTGACTAAGGCTATTTTGTTACAGGCCCATCTGTTCCTTCTGTCCTACAAACACACCAGTCTACTCACCTACCTGTGTCCTCAAAGATACAGAAAAGACAATGGCTATATCTAAATAATAATTAAAATGAAATGGAGAGCTCTTGTAGGGCAAAGAGTTTGTAACAATTCACTTGGGACTTATTTTGCATATCAACCATTACTACATTGTATATTGTAGCCAATACAACAGCCCTGTAAAGCAGAAATTAATTCTTCTAGTTTGCATTAGGACTAAAGGAATAAAAACATTGGCAAAATCAGAAATCTGGGAAGACAGGAGTTGAATGTGAGATTTCATACATTTGCACCCTGACATACAGCCTCAGACTGTGGATCCCCTGACAACTGGCCTCAGACATAGCACACATCTGACATTTTCGCATAATAGATGGATCACCAAACATCTGTTGAATGAATACTTGCATAGAATATTATTTTAAAGCTACTAAAAGTAGATCAATGCAAATATACTGACATGTTAATTCCATTGTTGTGCTGGTCAACCACACAAATTTTCTGTTGGCAATGACCATCAAAATAAAGAAGCTTGTGTAAAGTTTTTTGACTGCATCTGGGAAAAGCTACTTTCATATCAAACAAGGGGCCATAGTCATGTATGTTTCTGGTGAGTTTTTACAAAATAAAGGACAGTATGTGTGTCCACCATTAACATCATACAAATAACAGGAACAGAAGAAGCAAGAATTTGTAGGATTGCACTACACTACTTAATGCTTCCTAGTATGAGAAGCCTTCGAGATTTTCAAAATATATTAAAGTGTAAAGATGCTTTGACAAATAACAGTAGAAGTATTGACTTCTAACCCAAGGAAGCAAAATAATGAATGGAGTATTACCTAGAGGCTTTCAGACCTTGAGAGATTTACTTTAAGAATGCATGAAGAAACTCCTGATGGCAGTGAACTTTTGCTGGGTGATTGTCTAGTCTGTTCTCAACAGCCCTATGCAACTCTCTGGGTATAGGTGGGTCCACTCTCTGACCTAAACATGGTTGTGTCTTTGAAAATGATCCACGAACTGCCAAATCATTTCCATAACACACACAAACACACACACTTTTGCCCATATAGTATCAGTCTTCAAAGTTAGACTCAGTATCTTCACTTTGTTATCCCTCTCAAATTCCCCAACCAAAGCTAATTATATATCATTCTATTTTTACTTCTACAGTATGTCATGCTGAGTGGTAGCACTCACCACATCCTGTGGTGACTATATAGCTGTTATATTTTTTTAACAGTCTCTCTGACCAGTCAGTGAGTTGGTTTTGGTCAGGAACCCATCTTACCATATCTTCTGAGTTCTCCAGGCTTAATGAATATTAAATTCTCAAGATGATTTTTGCTATATTAGTTCATTACGAAGATCATGCTTTAATGATCATAAACATGCTACCAGAAGTTAGTAACACAATGTCTTATCTTCTCTTCTTGTAACCTTTTACTTCACTCATTTGTAGATTTCCTTATCTATAAGATTTACTTTGTGAGTGTTTAAAGCATTGAACTACAGGCTCCATTTCATCAGGTAAACACAATAAGCATTGTTTTATAATGCATCATTTCATTTGTCTGGCTACATCACCGAAATGCCCACCCAGGCATCGCTGAGCCTGCATCGCTGGATTCCCCTGAGCAACTTGCAGGAAGAGTCACTGAAGAATCTCCTTCCCACAGTGGTTTGCTGCTCCTCTAAACTTGGTGATGGGTTTTCCAGGTCATGTACGTTTTCATGAGCTTCCTAAGCCTTGTAAGTTATGTGATCTTCTTGATGAGTTTCCTGAGTCTTGTGAACCTTCTTCCTCCCTCCAGGAAGAAATGTTTCAGTTCAGAGGAAACAGCTATGCAACAACTCCATCCCTTCTTTCAACTGTTATGTTCTTTCTACCCTCTTCTACAATGACTCTTAAGGGGGTGTGATAACGATGGCTGAGTACTGTGGCACTGGTCCACAGCAAAAGTCACTTATTCTCAGTATTTTGACTGGTTTTCAACTTGTGCAGTAATCACTGCCTACAGGGGGAAAGAGAAATTCTGCTAATGTGTGGGAATAGACATAAGTATTTAGAAGGCAAATCAAGAGGTATGTAATACCTGTTTAACAAAACAGTAACAGTAGCTTCCCTCAATCCTATAATCCCCCAGTCACAGGTTTTACCCTGGCTTGTAGTACCAAACATGAGTTCTATCCTGTGAGGTGAACCTCAGATCCCAGCAGGAAGCAGTTGGCTGTGTCTGCATCAGCTGTGCCACTTGAACCAACTGCACATTCTGACTGGAGTGTCGGTAGTGTAACACACAAGGCCCATAGCCAAGCAGGACTGTTGATCACAATTCTTCTCCACGATTCTGTTATAGTTCTTTCAAGAACTACAAAAGCTAACCAACAAGAAATGAACTTTCGGCTTAGACAAATATGATTTTTTTTAGTGTCCTACAACAAAAGCATACAGTGTCTTCAGTTGTAGAAACTCAGCATCTACTTCCGACATGTAGCTAACAGCAGTGGTAATAGCTTATATTTTATGGGGATCCTCATGGACCTCCCTGACCAATAATTGCTCAAGAGATAATATACTCCTGATGTGCATATCCTTTTTATCTCAGCAACTTTGTGTTCCTAGAATTGCCTTTTCCCCACCCAAACAGGGTGCATTCTTCAAACTTTTCATCTACCATTTTTACTGTCCTTCCAGATGATTTTCCAAATATGTAAGACACACAAAGTTTAACGTTACATAATGAATCCTTTCACAGAGGGTGGGCAGGGACTCTGATGTTCCATTGCTGTCTCTTCTAAGCAAAGGCTAATTGGTCCTGGAATTCAATCTAAAGGGATTATTTTTTAACATTAGTGGTATAGCATGAAAAGTATCCCATCACTTGTGTCAACTGTTTTTTTCAAAATTCGATTTAGATGCATGAATGGAGATACCACATTATTTAGATCTTTATCATCCATAATCATATAATCCATATGTCGTCCAGTATCTCATCCTGGGGAACTGCACACCTCCCCAACCTTGATAGGCTCCATGTGACTGGTTTGTGACACTCTGCCCAGGGGCAAGGGAAAGCAGATCAACCTTGTCATCATCACACCCATGATGAGCCTGCTCGTTGGATCAGACAGGCTTCAGACTGCTTCCTTGGCCACCACCTCTGTCAATCACCCCTGACGTCTTAAAGAACTCCATCCTGAACAACCTCTATCCTAGTACACAGTACACTGGGGGTAACTGACCAGTCCTCTTCCACTTACACTGACCTGTCATTCACTCCTTCTTTCACCCCTTTTGTGAACTGTTACTCGGGCTTTAAAGACAAGCACAGAATTTGTCCACATTTTCTTTGGGGCGATCGACCCCATTATCTGCTTTCTCCTCTCACTCTATCTTTTTAAATTACATTTATTTGTTTGCTTGCTTGCTTATGGGAGTGGATGCTGTGACATTGTGTGTGTTGGGAGCAGCCAGAAGACAACTTTCAGGAGTCATTTCTTTCCTTCTACCATGTAGGTACCAAGAATGGGAGTTGAGTCATCAGACTTGGCAGCAGGCACCTTTACTCACTGTGCCATCTTGCCAGTCCAGGTTTCCCTTTTCTTTTTTTTTTTTTTTTTTTTTTATATTAATATTTTTTTTATTTTCCATTTTAAATTTAGATAAGAAACAAGGTTGCTTCACAAGTCAGTACGAGGTCCCTCTCCCTTTCCCTCCCCTCCTCCTGTGCCCTCCCCCCATCCCCCCCCCCGTTATCCCCTCATTCCCCCAGGGAGGGTGAGGCCCTCCATGGGGGTGTCCATAGTCTGTCATTTCATATAGGGCAGGGCCTAGACCCTTCCCCAAGAGTTCAGGGTGAGAGTGCACCTCACATTGTTCTATGGGAGTCCAGAGACCGTGTGTATACTTGGGATGGGTACTGATCTGCTGTCCAAGGCTCAATAGATTACCTAGGCCTCCTCACTGACACCCAGATTCAGGGGGTCTTGATCAGTCCCATGCTGGATTCCCAGGCTGATGCCTGGGATTCAAGAGTTAACCTTTGTCTGGTCAGCTGTTTCTGGGGGTTCAACCAGCCCAGTCTTAATCCCTTTGATCATCAGTCCTCCCTCTCTGATACTGGCTTTCTTGAGTTCAGCTCAGTACTTAACCAGCCAGTAAATGAAGTTTCTGTTTCCCAGACTCTCTGGCAATAGGATTGTAGGCTGGCACTCCCAGGTTTCCCTTTTCTAATCCCTTCCTAAATACCTCAGCAACCATATAGACACAAATTGTAATCACATCATATGGCTTTCCAATTTTTGTAAAGATCATAACATAACAACAGACTCAGCAAAGCCACTTGCCCTATACCAATTCCAGGGTGCCTTTCTCTCTCCTGTGAACAAAGTCCCATCTGGCTTGCTCAGCTGGGCATTATTAAATACCTTGTCATGCATACACAGTTCTCTTGACAATGTCGGTCATTCCTTTATTGTCTTCTAGTCCCTGATATTCATGGAGATCCCAGCCAGTGATAGTCAAGCTTCCTAATCGTTACATAAGCCAGTTCATTGGGAATGGTTTCCTTACTTTGCCTCAAACTATTTAGCCTGTCTGAAAAGAGAAAAAAATCCATGATATCTCTCAGCTTCTCACTTCCACAAACTGATCCCATCTGCCTCCCCCATGGCCCATGGCCTCCCAAGTCAGGCATTGAAAAGTTCGTCTATTGCTTATTTAAAACTCTCTCCCACTTGAAGCATTTAAGGGACCAAATATCCACCAACTAGCATCATTTCCTGGGCTAAGAAATGATTAAGGCTTCTATGTGCATATGGAATCACAGATTTTTCCTTCTTATGTATTAAAATGCTGGTAATTCCTTCTGGGCAGAGATCTTAGCCTCAATTACTGCTCTTATGGCATCCAGCAGAGACCAAGTATCTATTTCTGTGACCTGCTTATAATCACATGCCATATGTGTCAGTTCTGGGATTACAATAGATTCTCTAGTTCATCAGCCACCGTGGGGGCATTCCTGGGCTTGATTGACAGACCACATTCATAAAAGGGGCATGCCAACCATACCGCATAGAGGAAGATAGGGTTTCCCCTCAAAGATGTTCCCCTTCGGTTGCATGTCTTATTCATATCAGAGGACACACAACTGCCCTGCTGTCCCATACCACCAGGAAAGAGTAATCACATCAGGACACTCCACCCACAGGTGGATCAGTCACTCTTACACGCGCCTCACCCATAGCAGGGAGTCATGCAACCCTCCCTCCCCCTCAGACTCATCTTTGTTTTGTTTGTCCCAGTTCCAGAACCAATTGTGACTATTTTTTCCTCTGGAGATTTGAACAAGTATGTCTATTCACTCCAGACAGGATGTTGACAACAAGACAAAGAAACAGCCCACACAAATTCTAGATTAGTTCACTAGGGTTACTGACCAGTGCAGGGGTGAGGGCTTATCTGTAGGCACATAGGTGGTCCAAGGCCTTTGCATACCTGAAAGCCCACTGTCAAAGCCCATCAATGGCATAATAGTCTCTCACTAGGACCTACTTCTCAAAGGTCCCACCGCCCCACCCCACCCCACCCTCGCTCTGAGTCACCACACTGGAGACCAAGCCTCCAGCACAGGAATCTTCTGGGGTCAGAAGCACAGGAAGTCTTTAAATAAAGGACCTGAGCAACACAACAAATCAGTAGGAGCTGATAGACATCACAGACGATGCCACAGACAAGGTGACCATTTTCTCAAATGCATAGATGGCTCCTGATACACATCTCCCTACATTTTTTAAATTAAAATTGTACCAGCTATTTCTTTTTTTTAGTTTATCCATCTCTTATGTATTACATCCCCACCACAGTCTCCCTCCGTCCTCTCCTCCCACCCTTCTCCCCACGTCTCCTTCATTTCCCTTCAGAAAAGTTTAGGCCTCCCGGGGATATCAACCCAATATGGTGTATCAAGTTACAATAAGACTAGGCAACTCCCCTCATATTAAGACTTAACTAGGCAACTGGGAAACAGGCATAGGACTGAACTAGGACCCCTGAATACGGGTGACAATGGTAAGGCTTGGGCAGTGGGACCAAGATCTAACTATAAAGTGTAAACTGACTTTGTGGAGCCCATTCTCTATAGAGAGATACCTTGCTCAGTCTAGAAATGTGGGGGAGGGGCAACTTGGGCACCTTGGTCCTGCCTCAACAAGGTGATGGGACAGACTTAGGGTAAGCTGAGAAGCAAATGGGAAGTGGGATGGTGGAAGGAGGGGAGTGTGGGAGGAGAGGAGGGAGGGAAAACTGGGATTGGAATGTAAAACATAAATCAATTTAAAAAAAAAAAGGCAACCCAGTAGGAGAAAAGGCATCCCAAATTCAGGCAAAAGAGTCAGAGACAGCCGGCCCCCACTCCCATTGTTAGGAATCCCACAAAAACACAGAGCTAACGAACCATAAATATATGCAGAGGGCTAGGTCAGTCCCATGCAGGCTCCCCGATTGTCACTTCAGTCTCTGTGAGCCTCTGTGAGCCCAGGTTAGGTTGACTCTGAATCTTCTTGAGGTTTTCTTGACCCTTCTGACTCCTACAATACTTCCCATCTTCCAAAGGATCCCAAGTTCAGTCTAATGTTTGGCTGTGGGTCTCTGCATCTGTTTCCATCAGTTGCTGGATGAAGCCTTTCTGATGGCGATTATGCTGGGTGCCTGTCTATGGGTATAGCAGAGTATCATTAGGAATTATTTCATTGACTTTCCCCCCTCCCCTCCCCCCCCCCCCGATGTATTTGATTCTATCCTAGGTCTCTGGGCTATCCAGCCTCTGGTTCCTGGATCTCCAGGCAGTGCCAGGCGTGGGCTCCTTCTTGTGGCATGGGTCTCAGTCTGGCTCAGTTAGTGGTTGGCCACTCCCACAATTTCTGTACCACCTTTACTTCAGCACAGTTTCAGGCATGACAAATTGTAGGTCGCAGGTTTTGTGGCTGAGTTGGTGTCCCAATCCCTCCCTTGGAAGTCTTGCCTGGTTACAGGAAGTGGCCAGTTCAGGTTCTGTATCCCCCATTAGTCTTAACTTATACAAGGTATTTCTATAGGTAATGTGTGAAAGTGAAGATCGTTAACCAAAGGCTTGCTAACATAGAGGAAGAGCTCTCATCACCAGAGGAAAAGGAAGTCTCAGTGACAAGCTGGTGACAGAATGGTTGTCTCAAGGACTCCAGCGCCTGACTCCGCCGGTCAGATGATGGTCTGGCTGTTCCCACTTGTCTTCTGCCTTGGCTCAGGTAAATGTGGACACCGATATTGTCGCTGAGTGAGTTCCTTCTTTGGGACAGCTCGCTCAGTTTAAATCGTCTAGATCAGGCTGACTGCCTGGATCTTTGTCAGAGACTGAGGAAGTCCAAGGTAGTTCATAGCAAACTGCTTCCCTCAGACTGCTGGGGGACTGATTTGGGGCAAAACTTCAGCTGGGCCTGATTGAAAGGGGGTGTTTCTGGGCATGGAAAATGAGTCTTTGTTTGTGACCAGCATGTGATACAAAAATAAGTTTAAGGAAGAATAAATCTTCAGCATTTTAACTGCTGTGATACTGTGTAACTTCAGGGGGATTCATTATCTTTTCTGAACTTCACTTTTCACTCAAATACTGAAAACCCAGCACTGCAGTTAGGAAGGGACTGGCTGAGTCTGCTTCTTCTCCTGTTGTCTGTTACACAGAGAGCAAGAAGGCTCACATGTTTAAGAAGTCACAGGATGGCATCTGGGCTGAAGTGCAGTGTTCTAAGAAAGGGTACCAAGGGCTCCTAACTCAGACCAAACCTGGGGGAGTTCACTGAAAAAAAATGGCTAGCATTTATTTTGCTCCAGAAATGGGCTAGATATTAAACATGCATTATATTTAGAAGTCTTATGGCATGTGTGTGGATTTATTCTATTAATAGCTTCATATTGACACAAGGAACTAAGACTACAATAATTTGAATAACTTGTCAAAATTTCATTAGCCAGCAAGAGGCTGAAAAAAACAGTTGACTAAACCTATCAGTAACACAAGAAAAATCAAGACATACTGCAGACATAGAACTAACTAGATTAATTGACAACAGAAATAAGAGGAAAGGAAGATTCATTAGGTCATTTGATAGCCATTCATTAAATGCCTACTGGATCGATAGCACTGTAGTAGTTTCAGGAATTACATCAGGACCAAAGTCAACAAAATTTCTGTTCTTATGGAATTAACATATTGGCAAGGAAACACATCGAAACAAGTATAATGTACACTGGCCAGCAACAAATAATCTTGAAGAAATGAGTGAGAAAGAGAGAAAAAACAGAGAGGGGGGGAAGGAAGTCCCATTGCAGACAGGATAGTCAAAGATAGAGTCAGTGATAGGATGGAGGACTGGCCACGAGGAGGAAGGTCAGCTCCTCTTTGGATATGTTTTGTGTTATCAGTGCAGTAGCTGAGAGGAGTTTCCTGAAAGCAGCTAGAAACTGAGGCACAAGGCTAAGGCTGAGAATAGAGACTAAGTCAAACTAGGGAGAACAGAGGAACAAGGACAGAACCTTGGGAAATACACACAAGATGTAGAGAAAGATGACAGTTATTGTAGTCGCATCCATGTTGCCACTTCCTGACCAGGGACCAAGTAGCAACTTGAGTTTTTAACCTCACGTTTATCTCTGTAAAACTGGAAATTTCTGAGAGTCCTCTTATTAAAACCCTTCCTCCATCTCTCTGTGGGTTCTTATAACAAGCCTGTGAAATGTGAGGCTCAGTCCCCATGTGTGGTTGACCAAACAAGGTGCATAACCTATGTAACAGCTCACTGCCACACAGCTGTGGGGGAGGTTGTAAAGTAAGAACATGGTTGACTGCATCTGCAGGAGACAGATGCAGGTGGTCAGAAACCTCTAGGTGGAGCGGAACTGTGGTTGCTGGGGTGGAAAGTGAAGAGGCTGGTTCCGAGGTAAAACTAGTCAGGACACCAAAAACAAGGGACTGCTCTGAACTGGGTGGTGAGGAAGAACTTTCTGGAATGGGTGAAAAAGATGTGCGGTTAAGTAGGGAAGGAATCAAATACAGAAACATGGGAGGGAGAGGGGAAGGTATAGGGGAAGAGTTTGGAGTAAGTGAGGAAAAACAAGACCGCTATAGCAAGTATGTAGGCCAAAGATGCTCTCAGAGCAGATGGAGAGAATGACTCAATTACTAGCTTTCAGGTAGGTGAGACACATCCTGATTAGATTAGGCTCAAAAGCTAAACCATATTGGAAATCTAATCTTATTTTCCTTTTTGTGTTCATATATGAGCTTTTACTTATTCTTGTGTGTTTACAAATCTGTGTGGGCAAGTATGGAGCATTAATTGAGTGGCTTCAATGGCTGCTTCTCTCTCTACCTTCATTTTTTGAGGTTGGGCTCTCAATGAACCCAAAGCTTGCTCATTTGGCTAGGCTGACTGAGCAGTAAACCTCAGGTCTCCCTCTGCCTCCCCAGGGTTCCTCCTGCCTCCCCAGGGCTCCCTCTGCCTCTCTGCCTCCCCAGGGCTCCCTCTGCCCCCCAGGGCTCCCTCTGCCTCCCCAGGGCTCCCTCTGCCTCTCTGCCTCCCCAGGGCTCCCTCTGCCCCCCAGGGCTCCCTCTGCCTCCCCAGGGCTCCCTCTGCCTCTCTGCCTCCCCAGGGCTCCCTCTGCCTCTCTGCCTCCCCAGGGCTCCCTCTGCCTCCCCAGGGTCCCTCCTGCCTCTCTGCCTCCCCAGGGCTCCCTCTGCCCCCCAAGGCTCCCTCTGCCTCCCCAGGGCTCCCTCTGCCTCTCTGCCTCCCCAGGGCTCCCTCTGCCTCTCTGCCTCCCCAGGGCTCCCTCTGCCTCCCCAGGGCTCCCTCTGCCCCCCAGGGCTCCCTCTGCCTCCCCAGGGCTCCCTCTGCCTCTCTGCCTCCCCAGGGCTCCCTCTGCCCCCCAGGGCTCCCTCTGCCTCCACAGGGCTCCCTCTGCCTCTCTGCCTCCCCAGGGCTCCCTCTGCCCCCCAGGGCTCCCTCTGCCTCCCCAGGGTCCCTCCTGCCTCCGCAGGACTGAGATTACAGCACTGGCTTTGCATTACATTCACCTGGCTTTGTACGTGGGTCCTGGGAACCTGAACTCAAATGGTCCTGAGATTACAGCACTGGCTTTGCACTACATTCACCTGGCTTTGTACGTGGGTCCTGGGAACCTGAACTCAAATGGTCCTGCTTGCATGGCAAGCACTTTGCCAGTTTATGCATCACTCCAGCCCCTTCATTCCCTTTAACTCATTTCCTTGGGGGCAAAACCAACTAACCATGTGACATGACAGTTGTACTCTTTGATGCACAGCAGCTGTGATTACCAGCACAAGACGTGCACAAAATTAGGCCTAACAATGTTCTGTCAAAGAGATAGAGGAGACCAATCAGGCCCATCCCTTCCCTCAGGGACTTTTAAGTGGTTAATGGTTGGGGAGGGGGAAGCTTTCCTTGGTGGTGTGGCCACTTGTCAGATGTCCTAGTGTCTGTATATAATCCCTTACCCATGTTCTCGTAAGCAACCCTAAGAAACTCATTGGTTCATCAGAGAAAAAAAGGAAAGAAAAATAGAAGATGGGTTAGAAGAAGGAGATTGATTAACAGGAGTGAAAAGGGGTTCAGAGATGGTACTGTGGGTAAATATGATCAAAATATATACATGTATGAAAATGCATTAAAACCTATTACCGCTGGGCGGTGGTGGCGCATGCCTTTAATCCCAGCACTCGGGAGGCAGAGGCAGGCGGATCTCTGTGAGTTCAAGGCCGGGCTGGACCGACAGCCTCCAAAACAATACAGAGAAACTTGAGAATTTTATTAGACTGGAAACTCTGAAAGAAAGTTATAAATATCTGCATTTCTAACAAACTCCCAGGTGCTATCAGAGTTGCCTGCCTGTGGACCACACCTTGACTGGACCACACCTTTACTAGCAAGGTTCTGAACCGTAGTCACACTGAAATTAGTGCCAGAGGGAAACAGGAACTAACTCTTTGGGTGGGTATGAAGGAGGCAGACACAGGTACTCTGAGGCCCAGGGAAGAGCAGTGACTGGATGTATAGGTAAAGGAAAAACACGTGGGCTGGCTCTGAAATCTCCTTCTCTCCTGCCCTCTTCCCTCCTCCCTTCTTCCTTTTATTTTGCAGCTAAGGCTCTGACCTAGAGCCTTGAACATGCTATCATTATGCCACTGAATTACACCCGCCGCCGCCCTGGTTCTGACATTTTTTGAGTCAAAAGTGTGTATAGTTCTACTGCTAACAGATTGTTTTGTTGTCCAATGCCTCCCCCCACCCCAGTACCGTTATCGTCTCTTTAACAACCATCTGCATGTTCAAATGGTTGCTTTACCTCATCAAAGACGGTGCTGTTTCACTTTTTGTTGTCACGCTCAAAGACACGTGACTTTCCAGGGCTCAGACCCTGTGTTCTGTCCCCTCTGTGGTCTCCAGCCTTCCGTGCCTCATACCTCTCCGCTTTGGGTCCCTCACTGCAGATCTAGCTCAGTTTGCTTCTTTTGCTCACCCTAAGGCCTTTCTTTGGTAGTTTCAAGAAGAAATGTGCATGGCATGTGTGCTGCAATCATCGAGCCTATTGTTTCCAAATATCCACGCTCAGAAAGAAAATTTCAGGCTGGGGATGTAGCTCAGTAGTAGAGTTTGTGTTTCGTTTCCTTTGGATCACACCCAACAGAGAGAGAAAGCTGTTTTTCTTCCTGTCCCCATCTCCTAAACCAACCCCAATATGCTTTCTGCATCCATTGAACAACTAAATGAAAGCGTACAATGACTGACCTATTGTGTCTCATCTAACAGAATGTTAAGGATCTGCTGCTAAGATACTGTTTCCTAACACTCTTGATACACATTCTTTTTTAATTTTGGCACAATATTTACCTTTTTTCTTTCATTACTTATGTTTTTGGTATCAGATCTAAGAATCTATTGTCAAATATCATTAATTGATATTTTCAAGATCATTAATAATGACCCCTACGGTTGTTTATAGTTCAAATCCAGAGCTTTTTTTTCTTTTTTTTATTATAAACAAGCTTGCTTCACATGTCAATCCCAGCTCCCTCTCCCTCCCCTCCTCCCCCACCCCCCTTCAACTCCCCAACCCCCCACCCAATCCCCACTCCACTCTCCAGGGAGGGTGAGGCCCTTCACGGGGGATCTCCAAAGTCTGTCATATCATCCGGGGCAGGGCCTAGGCCCTCCCCCATGTGTCCAGGCTGACA